CACAGTAGGGCCAGTGGCCTCCGGGGCTGCCTTGGCGCGCAGCCTCGGCCCGGCCTCGCTTGTTCCTCCCAGCCACCGCTGGGAGGCGGCCCAGAAATGGTCCCATTTTACAGAGCCGGCATCCGGACGGAGCTCAGAAAGGTGCCCACGGTCACGTCTGGGAACAGTCCGAGGTGCAGGATTCCGGAGCCCGCCTTCCGTCTTCACGCCAGTGTGTCTCACCCTTCGCCCTGCGGGATTTCCTTTTTCCAAGCTGTTATTTTTAATGGCATTCTTTTAAAAAGAAATTAAATCATATTTAGGATCACCTGGTTTTTAGCCGAGGGCCCAATGGTGCTGCGCACTTTCAGCGCCCCCCCTTTTGCATTTGTACTTCACACCGGTGCTCATTAGTTTCTTAAGGTGACAGAGTTTTAGTTTTAATCATTAACAACATTTCTTAAACTCATTAACAGAATTTCTTGAATTCTTTAGCGGTGTTTCCTCCACTGAGGGATCAGGACTCATGGGGTGGGGGTGGGGTGGGACGCGGGGCGTGGGAATCCCAAGTTCGCACGTTGCAGAAGCAATTTGGGGTAAGCTGCCTGGTAAATGTGCTGGGCAGTCTGCAGGCCGCTGCTTTTCCTGCCGCTCTCTCCGTGACGACCCATCCAGAGGGATTCACAGATGCCCCCAGTCAGAAAGCCTCTGGTCTTCTGGACTTGAGGCCCTACCTTTTTCCCTTTCTCCCATCTCATTTACTGATCATCCCGCTCTCGGCCTGGTCCTCCTTGAGGAAGCAAAGACGAGTAACGTTCCTGACTTCAAGAAAATTATCGATTGCTTGTCCAGAATGCTCTCTAGTCCTTTCACATCTTAACTAGTTGGGGACGCTTAGTTCTTTTCCCTTTAAGGGCAAAAGGTTCTCATTTTTGAAGGACAATTTTGTGAGGATGAGTATCACTTCTGAAGCGGTTCAGAGCTAAAGTCAATAGATTCGTGTCCTTCCACTTGTCTCCTAGAACAAGGAGAGCTACAGCTCTGCAGGGACACGAGAGAAGAACATTTGTTGACCATTGGCAACCCCCCATTTCTTTGCCTGTCGTCTAGGTAAGTCAGGTTGTCAGGGCGCAGCATTCTACACTCAGGCATAGAAGCGCTGCATGCATTCTTCTTGATCATTCCAGAGTTCCAAATGTATGATGCAATATTTGTCAGTTTATTGACAGAGTTGTACCACCATCACCATTTCAAAAGAAACCTCCTACCCATTAACAGTCATTCCTTATAACCCTACCTAACCACTAATCCAGTTCTGTCTCCATAGATTAACCTATTAAGGTCTTCTGTGACATGCTTCTTTGAACTTAGCATAATGTTTTGAGGCTCATCCATGTGGTATCGTATCGATATTTCTTTCTTTTCTTTGGTCAAATAATATTCCATTGTATGGGTATATCACATTTCGTTTATTCATCCACTGTTGATGAATATTTGGGTTGTTTGTACTTTTTGACTATTAAGAATAATGCTGTTATGAACATTCATATCAAGGTTTTGTGTAGACATGTTTTTCATTTCCTCTTGGGTATGTGTCTAGGAGCAGAATTGCTTGATCAAATGGTAACTCTGTTTAATTTTTTAAGGAACTGCCAGCCTGTTTTCCAAGGTGACTGCACCATTCTACATTCCTGTCAGCCATGTATGGAGGTTCCAATTTCTCCACATGCCTGCAACACTTGTTATTGTCTTTTTTATTTTAGCCAACCTGATGTGTGTGAAGTGGTACCTCATTGTGGTTTTGACTTGTATTTCCCTAATGACTCATCATACAAGTATCTTTTCCTGTGCTTATTGGCTATTTGTATATCCTCCTTGAAGAAAAGTCTATTAAAATCCTTTGCTCATCTTTAAATTGGGTTATTTATATTTTTATTGTTAATTTATAAGATCTGTTTATATATTCTGTATACAAGTTCTTTATCAGATATATAATTAACAAATATTTCCTTCCATCCAGTAAATTCTTTTAACTTTCTTCTTGGCATCATTTAAAGCAGAAGAATTTTTAATTTTAATGAAATCCAATTTACGTATTTTTCTTTTGGTGTCACATCAATTCCTAATCCAGAGCCATAAAACTTTACTCCTAAATTCTCTTCTAAGAGTTGATAGTTTTATCTCTGATGTTTAGGTCTCTGAGTTATTTTGAGTTAAATTTTGTATATGGTGTGAAGTAGGGCAAACCTGCTTTTGGTTCGGGAAGTTCCCATAATTAAGGACACTGACCAAAGAGAATCCCAACACAGTAAACTCAGAACTGGTGCAACATTTTAGAGTTGAATACTAGAATACGAATACTTTCTAAATATCCTTCTAAATAAAAAAAAAAATCTGTGATTTTTGAAAGTGATCTGTAGTTAGTGAAGCCTAAAAATGTAAGAAGTTAAGCAATGTAAATAGAAATAATATAAATCTGCTTTTTAAACTACTGGTCTTGATTCACTGGTGGATTATTAAATCAGTTCAGTGGGTTATAACCAATATATTTTTTAAAGTCCAATAAAACAGAACAGAAGAGAACAGAAACTATTAGAATGTACTTCCTAAATTAAAAAAAAATGTTGCTTCATAACTTTTATGTTGTGTATGTGTGTATTTGTGTGTACCAGGATTGGTGTAAAATGTGTTTATTACTGTTGGCCATATTTTCAAAAATTAGAAAAACACTCTGTAAGCTACAGTTGCAGAATTCTTTCATTCCACAAACATTTATTGAGTGCTTATTTTGTGCCAGGCCCTCTGCTAAGTGCTGGGGATAAAATGATAAACAGCACATGGTCTCCACCCTACAATAGCATGCATACGCAGTCCTATTCATACTGTAGTTTCTAGAGATAAAAGATTGTACCTTGGTTCAGTTATCCCAACCACAAGGACACCTTCCAACTATCGATGTTTGGTCCTGTGGCACTTATATTTTTGCGATTAGTTCTCAGCTGTTTACCTCATTTGAGATTTGCAAACATATTTGCTTTTCTTCCAACTAGGGGAACTTTGTTCCCAGGTTCATAATTGCATACTATGTTTATTGGGAAGGAAGTACAAATCAAGTAGTGGGAGGTAACCATTACTGAATTGATTTGCATTTTCCTCCAATTAAAACTAGCTTGAGTGAGAGAACCTCAGGTGTTGTTTTTTTTTTTTTTTTTGAGAACTCAGGTATTTTTAAATACTGTTTATATTAGTTCTTTTTTTTATTTTTCAAGGGTTTGGCAAAACAGAGTGTTGACATTAATAGTGATATTTAACTATTTTGGAGACTGGGTTTAGGAAAATTAATGTGCTCTGTTTCCAATCATCCGAGTCACTTATTCATGGCAGATGTGCACCGTCACAACTCTCTCTCTGAGACACCATTTGTCCTATCTAAACGCCACACATTCCCAGGAGATTTAGAAGATCTTAATTTAAAATTTAAAAAATTATAACCAGTTCAACATGCCAGACAGGTTACACACACACACACACATACACTTCCACAAATACAGCCACTTTTTGAATGACTTTGTTGTGTTCCCATACATGATTTTTAGATCTTCTTATAAAATTTTACCCGCAACCTCCCAATTTTACTTTGACTTCGATTAAGGTCCTTTTCTGTTCCTCTCCCTATTCTGTCACCTGTTACCTTGCCCTTCACTAAATGACTTGCCCATTTGTTACAAGATCTTAGGTACCACAGCCAGGCTTGTGTCCCATTTCTTCTGACCTCCAACTGGCTGATCTTTTCATTATACCTCTCTACTTAAGTCAGCTTTCTATTTCTGAGTGGTTGCCTATGAATAAAAAAAATTTCTGGAACATTTTAATACAAATGTTAATCTTGATTATAAACAAATAATTAGGTTACAATAAATGCAGCTATGTGTTGACTCAAATTAAAAACCGTAAGAGAATATAGCCAAATTAGCATTTTTTTTAGTACCCTCACTTTGAGCTTTTTTTAAAGATAATTTGGAATAACCGAAAGAAATAATTTTGTGTGTGTGTGTGACACTTTTAGAACTATCGTCTATTTCAATCCACAGTTCTGCTAGGGCCCAAGAAGTCCCGTTGCCTTATGGCCTCCATGCAGGGCCCGAGGTCCGCCGCCGTAGCTCTCTGTTCGGGCAGCTTCCCTCAAACGGCCCTGCACACAGGCATCCACCACCGGCATCACCCCCCGACAGCAAGACAGAGCACATGTTTGCTAAGTTTCCTCTTCTCTGCTTCCAATTTCTGGTTCCTCACGACGTCGGCATCCTAAATACCCGGGATGTCCCAATACCTTGTTTCCATGAGCTCTTCATGCCAGAGGTCAAGGGTTACTAATGGGCAATGAAACCAGCATTGTCCCTTCCCCAGCCTTGGCAAGTTAAAAGATGGGCAGGTAGAGTCTGGAGGGTTCCAGAGACGTCGGTCCCGAAAGAAATAATTTTAAAAAATTTTTTTATTGTTATGTTAATCACCATATATTACATCATTAGTTTTTGATGTAG